CCCACAAAGGTTCTGTCCCGCTCCTTTTGGTTCCCACGGGGACATTTCCATCCCCCCAGCCAGCGAGCCCAGGTCCCTGTCCGATCCCTGTGCCTGGGAATCACAGCTCGGGGGGCATTTGGGTCCCGGACCAGTGCTGGGAGTGCTCCCAACATCTGTCCTTCTCAGGGTGCTGTGTCTGAGCCCCCAGACCCGGAGTGTCCGGCACAGCCCGTGGCCAGCTCCTCTCAGGCTGTGTCCCCCGGGCTCGGCTCCTCCTCACGGTGTCCCTGCTGCCCCAGCCCGGCTCGGGGATCTCCTTGTGCCCCCTGAGCTCCAGGAGTCCTGCGGTTTGTGGTCCCTGTACTGGGCCAGCCCTTTGGCTGCCCTTTATCTCCCAGCCCCATCGGCTCCGTGGCTGCAGGACCCTCTGTGGGCTCTCTCCCTCTGGGGGTCCCCGTGGTTCAGCCCCCCAGGACCCTCACGGGGGTCATTCAAGCCTGAATGACCGAGTACAGAGCCCAGGTGAGCAGGGATGGACACCCGGGTGGGAGCAGGGTGGAACCAGCATCGTTCCCTGGCTGATCCATCCCGACAGGATCCAGCTCACGGGGGATGTGGGAATGCACAGAGGCTGCTCCCTGCTCCCCTCGGCACAGTCCCAGCTGCTCCTCAGGGGGGTGCCGGGGCTTCAGTGGGACCCTCCGAGGCTCGGAGCTCGGTGGCAGCAGGTGACAGGCACGAGAGCTTTGTCTCAGGCCTGTTCCCATCCCTGCAGGGCGCTCACAGCCCTTCCCCGGGCCAGCCCTGCCCTCCTGGTACTGCTGGGAGAGAAAAAGCTCCCTAAATCACCCGCGGGCGTCCTGGGTGAGCGACTCCTCACTGGCTGCATCTCCCCGCTCGGGGAATGGCGTTTTCCCCCGAAAACCCCAAATCTGAGCGGATCAGTTGCCTTTTCTTTCCGGAGAGGGGGATGGGAGAGACGAGATCTTGCTTGAACAGTCAAAGTAAGTTGCCTTTGCTTTTCCCCGCTCCTCAAGGTCAGCCTAGCTAATGAAAATCAATCTTTCCTCTGCCTCTCTCTGCTGCATGAGCAGATTCTACCTGTGGCCCCTTCACCTACATGAAAGTGGCGGCTGCCGAGTGTGGGCAGCGCCGGAGGAGTTTCCTCCTGGAACGGCGTTTTCCTGCGGCCCGGCCACCGGGACAGAGTCGGTGTCACGGGGGGATCGCTCCTGTCATCCCCCTTCTGGCTCCCGGGGAAGCTGCCTGCACGGGAATCACGGATCCCGCGTGGAAATGTGGGCTGGAAGCGCTGGGGAGGCTGGTGGCCAGGCTCTGGAGGGCAGCGGGTGATGCCCGTCCCCTGTGTGCAGGTGGCAGCAGCGGCAGCTTCGTGTCCCTCACTGCCAGAGCCGGGAGCTGTCACCCGCTGCTCCCTGTCCTCCCCCAGCCCCAGCCCGGGCTCTCCCTGGCCAGCTCTGGCAGATGTGGGCTTGGAGATGGAGCCATGGGGTCAAACATGCCAGGAAGGGGAGTGGTGGGACACGGAATCCTCCCCGCCCCGTCCTCGGCGTCGCTGACCGTCCTGGGCTCTGCTGCCGGCCGGGAGGCGCCGTGTCCTGAAAACAGCGGCGAGGGGCACGGCAGGGTTTGTCTGTGCCAAGGCTGCCTTCCCTCGTGCCTGTGCCAGGCTGGGAGGGAAACCCGCCCTTCCCGGAGCTCCTGATGGGAGCAGATTGGCTCCCGGGCTCTGCATGGGGCACTGGGATGCTGCGGTCCAGCAGCACTTGGGGTCTGTGGGACAGCCCTGTCCTTGGCCAAACGTGGGGCTCATTAGTTGCAATTTCATCCCTGGAAGTGTTAAAAAGAAAAAAAAAGCCCATAACTGGATGTGGCACCTGAGGACACGGTTCTGGTGCTGGGCTGGTTGGAGCTGCTGAGCTTAGAGGGCTTTTCCAACCTTAACGATTCCGTGATTGGAATTTGTCAGTGTCTGGAGCTAACCGTGCTCAGATTCCCCGTCCCAGTGCTCCCAGTGTGTGCAGGGAATGGGAGCAGAAGGCTGCTCAGGGTGTGCTGGGAGCCCCCAAGGCAGAGAGCTCTGAAGGGGACGGCGTTCCCAGCTCTGCTGTGCCTCTGGATCTGTCACCGCTCCCATTTCCCCTCCTCTGGACAGGCCCAGCACGCATCCCCGGGCAGGGAGAAGGAGGTGCTGGTGAGGGGTGGGAAATCCTCTGGAAGGACACGAGAGGCTCAAAAAAAGCTCGGAGAGAGGCTGTGCCCGCCGGGGTCGAGGGGCAGATCCGGCAGCCCTTCCCTCGGGACGTGTCCGTTCCCAGGCACGGAACTGCTCGGATCTGACTGCTGGAAATCCTTTCATTTGGAGCTCTCCAGCCCTGCTTTGCTCCAGAGGAAGGTGTCCCTGCCCACGGCAGGGGGCTGGAGTGAGATGAGCTTTAATGTCCCTTCCATCCCGAGGCAGTCTGTGATTCAATGACCGGGATGGACGGATCACGTAACGGGGATGTTTTCTCTCTTCCTGCCCCATCCTTTAGGATTTTTAGATGTGCCCTGATGCCGCAGGGTCTCCCGGCTCCTGGAAATGCAGCTCTCTTCCAGCGTGGCTGAACTCAGCTGCGACGAGACCATGGACCCACCCGCCGAGGACTTCCAGCAGGTCCTGTCCATCGACCAAATCCGCTCCATCCGCGCCAGCAACAACTACGTGGAGAGGCCGGCGGCGTGCTTCCAGCAAACCCGCTCCAACCCCTCGCTCTCGCAGCCCCCGCACAAGCAGGAGTGGCCCCAGGAGCGCCTGGCGTCCTCCACCTTGCAGGACCTGCACCGCAGCCACAGCCAGCAGCACCAGATGCCCCTGCAGCCGCACCTGAGCCACTCGAGCACGGCCAGCTCGGTGTCGCAGAGCACCGCGGCCTCCGAGCAGCGCCTGCTGAGCAGCCTGACCCCGTCGCACTCCGGGCACTCTCTGGTGCGGACGCAGCCCCTCGGAGGGGAGCT